TCTACAAGGTCCCTTCTGACCCGACTTCTATGACTCTATGATACCAGAACTCCTTAGCACACTTTGCTCCTCTCACTGTTCTAGACACAGTAGGACACTGAAGTCACATTTAATTCTGCTTTTGTTTCTCTCCAGACAGAATTTCAGTGCTATAATGATATTCACACTCTAACAAGGCTACCTTAGCAGACCAAGGACAGAACTAAAGCTGGGGAAAGCACTATTTTTAATGTTGTCAAAGAAAAAAAAATCCCTTTGGGATGAACCCTGAAATTACTTCTTAGGTTTCTGTTACTCAGAAAAGCATTCTGCAAAAAAAATCTCCCAGTCTACAGCAGACTCAAAGGCTTTGTTGAGAGACAGATCGAGAGGAGAGTCACACCTCACAGGCTCAGGAGTGGTGTGTAAATATGATTCAAACACTAAAACTGTTGTCACTTCCCAGATATTACAATAATTTAAATATTTAGAAGCAATGGAAAAATAAAAGTTTCATGAATTTTCACCTTTGTTTTCTTCAGAAGTAGGTTTTTCTTCAGATTTGTCTAAAGAGTTTTTTGAAACATTTTCAGGAGAAAAAACAGCTTCAGATTTATTACTTTTCTCAGGTTCAAGTCTGGACCTACAAGCACAGGAGCACATATATTAACTAATTTCATCCAGCTGGATTTCCCTAGAATGACAGTAAGGTGTTAATCAAAGTTTACTTGTAGATGCACTATATAGAAACTCAGCCTTGCAAAACTCATATGAAAATTAACCAATCAAAATACAAAATGTACTTGCCATCTTGTTCTACATCATTTGATAGTAAGAAAGAAAATGAATATTAGTCAACTCACTCCTAGAAAAATAAGGATATGAGTTAAGTAGGATTTTGTAAGGCTGCAGTAAATGAAAACAACAGATTTCAATAAACTTCCTTTAAAACTTGGTATATTAAAATGTCAATTTTAGGAGATTATTTTGAAACAAAAAATGTTAATATTCCTTGAGTTTTTTGCAGTAATGGACAATTTGACATTACTTTTCAAGTAGTGTTTGCATTTGCGTAATGCATTGTCAAATATCATTAAGTAAAAAAAGGAAAACACAAAGTCTAAGTACTTGGTTTGAAAAACAGTTGTTTTGCTCAGTATAATGGGGCACTCACTCCTTTCACCAGGCAGTTATTTTTCCTGGGGCAAACTTGTCCCCACAGAAAACAACATACATAATAAAACAAACAAATGCACAAACAACAAACGGATAAACCAAAGCCTGTGGTCCTTCCTCAGACCCTGAGAGGACAACTCTGGCTCTGTGCTTGCTCCTCTCCCTTGCTACCCTCCCTGGGAATTAACTTCCTCTAATCATCCCTGGCAGCTGGCCCAGAGCTCCTAACCCCTGCAGCTGGGCTCTAGCCTCTGAGCCATGCACCTTCTTACACATCCCCCCTCCCAAGAGTGGAACCTAGGATACACTCTTCCATTTTTTTAATCCTCCCACCCCCATTTGGGAGAGAAAGTCTGTATTTGCACGTGCAGTTCCAGGGCAGATGCATATAGAGAAATCAAAAGGCTGCAGGGACAGGTACTCTCTCATCAACTGGGGGTTGGCCTCCTGCATACAATTAAGCCATGTTAAAGGGGCATGGTCAGTGACCAACCAAAAATGGGCCCCTAGGAGGTAGTACCGGTGGGTCTGAACTGCCCACTTAAATTGCTATATACTCCTTTTCTATTACAACATATTTCTGCTCTTGGGGGAGGAGCTTTCTGCTGGGATATAAAATGAGGTGTTCTCCATCCTCAAACTCCTGGGAAAAAACAGCCCCCAAGCCTCACTCAGGCATTTGTCTGCAATATAAATTCCTTTGTTATGTCTGGGCTGCAGAGAACCAGCACATTGTATAGTAGCTGATTTACTCTCCCAAATGCTGTCTCATGCTTGGGTGACCACTGGATCCTTTACAGTGCCCCTTCTGCAGCAGGTCAGTTAGCAGGAGCCGCATAGTCACCAACTTTGTTTTCTGCCAGTTGGTGCTTGCAGACGTAATGCCCGCCCCCCCACAAAAAAAAACAAACAAAAAACCTGGAGCTTTACTTTAAACTTGGCGCATTAAATGCCAAGCCACGCACATGCCCAAAAGG